GAGGCAGGCAGCAGGTCCACTAAGCTAAATCCCAGGCCCAGTAAAACCGTTTTTAATCAAGCTGCATCAAAGGTCTGCACTTTTGGAAACTCCGTATGTTCTTTTTCTTCTTAGATAATCTACTCATATCCTCTGGCTGAAGCCTCTAATTTTATCTCTATGACTTGGAGCTCCAGATGTGAATATCCAACTAATACTTTGACATTTTTCATAAGCATTTCAAAACTTCATTCTATCATATAATCCATAAACAAATCCTATCAGCTCTTCCTCAAAACGCAATCCTAATCCACCCACATACTCCACTCTGGTCCAAATTACCATGAGCTCTTGCTTGAGTTCCTGTCTGTATTAGCTTTCTAATTGACCTTCCTGGTGGGAGCGACTGCCTACCTGTTCTCCACCTAATACCTAATAAAAGTGATCTTTTAAAACTATAAATCAGATTTTATCCCCATGTTTAAAAACCTCCATTAGTTTCCCATTATACAAAGAATCCCATCTCCTCACCAGGATCTACAAGATTTGGTCTCCTAGATTTGTCCCTGACTTCACCCTTCCCCATTCCTTTACTTTGTTCCAGCCACACTGGCCTTCCTTTTCCTTGCATAAACAGGTGAAGTCCCTTCCACCTCAGTGCCTTTGCAGTTCTCTTCAGAGAACTTGCCCACAGATTTCCCCAGCTGTGTTGACTTCTTATTGCCCTATTCAATGTTGCTACCTTATTATCAACCCAGGTGACCCACATAAAAAGAGCAAGTGACAGCAAGAAACAGAAGACAAATACACGATGTAAGACAATTTAAGAAGGACTGTATAAAGGCACATACATAGTAAAGGGAAACCACAAAGAGATGGTAAAGAACCATACAGCTAGCAATAATGGAGTGTTCTTACTGCCCCTAGGAGGAAACAGAGCTAGAAGGCTATCTGAAAGGGACCTTTTGTCAAGATACAGTCAGTTCACAAAGACCTCCACTTCTCTCTCCTCCCTCCCTTGCAGTTTCCTGCCAGTGTTCCCCCAGTGACGGAATTCCAGTGACCTAACCAATCAATGCCCCCGGGTAGGGACAGTGGGTTTGGAGGGGGCTACAAAAGCTATCCATTCCACTCTCTTCTCATAACCTTGCCTCATTTTCTTTAGAGCACTGCTTTATGATATTATTTATGTGTTTACTTAAATACTTGTTTCCTGCACTAGAGGCAATTGTTGAAGGATCAAGTTATATCTTATTTTGAGCTCTGGAAGTTATAATTCATTAAGGACCCATGTCCTATTTGTGGATTTTTAAGATAATGATGTTAAAGATTATCTTTCCTATATGGTATTTCTGTGTCTTATAGCATAGATGGAATTTAAATGGCAAAATACAGCACACAGGTTCTCATCTTTGGTAGAATAGGGTATTTGGGGGAAATGAAAATAAGAGGATGCAGAGGAATAGTGTCAAGAGGATAATCTGGGACAGCAGCATATCTCCAGACTTAATAGTTGCTAACATTTTGCTTGAAACACATGCTATATTATAAATATTATAAAATCATCTGCCACTCTTTTATTCCTTATTCATCTGTATTTAAATTTTTGTATAAATCATTAAAGATACAAATGATCTAAAGGACATTATAAAACACCATGACCTAATTAATATTTGTAGAACACTAAACAGTGACAAAATACACTGCTTTTGACAGTACATGGTGTGTTCACCAAGAGAGTACATGCTGAGACATAAAGTCAATACTTTTTTTTTTTTTTTGGTACTGGAGATCGAACTTGGAACCTTGCACTTCAAAGCAGACAGCAGAAATAAACCAACACATTTTTAAAAATTGAAATCACACATGATTTCTGGCCATAAGAGAATTAAATTAAAAACCAATTATAATAAGGTATCTAGAAATCCTAAATATTTGAAAATTAGATATACATTTGTAAATAATCCATTCATCGAAGAACAAGGGAAATTTCACATTATTTTCTTCTGAATGATAAAAAAAATACAACATATTAAAGTTCCTGGGATTTGGCTGAAGTAAAGCTTGGATGGAAATTTGTAACGTTTGGGTATTTATATTAAGAAAGAAGAAAGGACTAAAATCAGGGACCAAATATTTTGCTTTAAGAAACTAGGAAAAGAAAAGCAAAATAAGTTCACAGTAAGTGGAAAATATAAAAGAATAAGAACAGAAATCACCAAAATAGAAAATAAACAGAAAATTGAAGTCAAGACTGTTTCATAAAAATACAATTTACCAAACTTGGCATGAGATAAAAATTCTGGATAGCCTCACATCTTTATTTGAAGATGATTGAGAGATTCTTGTAGTTTGTCCCTATTGTAACTGAGCTCTATCCAAATTGCCAAATGTGTGTGTGTGTGTGTGTATGTGTGTGTGTGGTATGCGTGTGCGTGTGCGTTAAGACAAGCTGAAAGTTAGAAAAGTCCTTTCAAATTTCATCTAAAGAGAGACTAATTCCCGAGAAGCTATAAATATCAAAACTGATAAGACATCGTTATGATTATATCTGGATGTTCCCCGAAAGCCTTGTACAGTCATAGGTGGGAAGTTTCGAAGATGGCTGGAATAGGGTGAGAATGTAAATTAAGAGTGTGACAATGGGATTAAATGTGTGGATAAATTCCACCTTGGGTATGAGTGGCACCAATTAATAGGCTTGTAGCCTGGATGGAATATAAAGGGACAGCAAAGGCAGGCTGCTGCTTGTTGCTTGCTGCCTCCTGCCTGCGTTGCCATGGACTATGTCTCCTCTGACATTCTTTACAAACTGTGACCTGAAATAAACCTTTCCTCCTTTAACTGTGGGTGTTGGATATTTTGTCTCAGTAACAAGAAAGTAACTGAGGCAGACATTAAAGGAAACTACAGACAAGATCACCTATGAACACAAAAGCAAAACCTTTAAGCAAAATTTTGCCAAATAAATCCAAGAATTATTAAAAAGGTAATACATCAAACTCATGCAGTCATAAGAAAGCAGATCAATGGTTGCTTGAGGGTGGGGAAAGGCTGCATAGAAGGATTATAGAAAGTCATAAAGGAATTTCCGGAAGTGACATATATGTTCACTATCTTGATTATGGTAGTTTCACGGATGTATACATATGTAAAAAACATCAAATTGTTCACTTTAAAATTATGCAGTTTATAGTACATTATACTTCAATTAGCTGCTCTAAAAATAAATCGCTGCCTATGTAGTTTCACCTTTGCTTGTCTTGGAGAATAAAGAGAAAGCCAGAAAGAAAAAGGGCATTATAATATTTTCTTCTTTTATGGTTAGATATTTGCAAATCCCTCACCTTGATGACTTTTTGGAAGATGCGTTCATTCTTTCTGGTGGAAGAGCTCGACATCTGCAGTGGGACTGAACTTTGTTCAGGAAGATTCAAGCTGCTGGAGGCAATGGAGAGAAGAAAGATGGTCGGAGGATGGCACAGAACACAGGGCAGACGAGGCGCCTAGGGTCAGAAGCCCGGGCCAAGCAGATGCCGACGGCCTTGACCAAGGAACAGAGCGGTCCACTCCCGGAGCGGCCCTCTGGGGCAGGACGTCGGGAAGACCCGTGACCTCGGCGCACAAGCAGGGCTGCTGCGCGTGTCCGCGGAGTCGCTCACGTCCTGCAGAAAGGAAGCGGGAATGGGGGCTCCACGCTGCGCGCCTCGGATTCAGCGAGCGAGGGTCAGGCGCTAGGGAACGACTCCCAACCGGGACGGAGGAGGGCGGGACAGCGTGGCCCTGCTCCTCCCCGGGCAGGGC